AAGGGTGCAGCAAGAGAATACAGTAGAATATTATATGGATGTAATATAAGAATCTACTGAAGTGTGGGTATGACTAAAAGAAAATTAGTCAAAGTAAGACTAAAAAGAAAATTAGTCAAAGTAATACAGTAGTAATAAAATGATTCCTTCTTCCATTCATAAAATAAGAAAAATGAAATTCCTTAAAATTAAGGTAGAAAACAAACAAAGGCTTAAAAAGAAGAAATAAGCAGAAGAAGTTTGAAAAAACCTTAATAGGAAAAATAAAGCAAAGAAGTGCTTTCCTCATTTTGCAAGACAAACCTAAATGATAGGTTCAACAAAGAGATTACTCTTTTTTAATAAGCTCAGGGATGGGATTAGTCTCCCCTGAGCTAGGAAGAATAGATGAAAATTCTATTAATACTTAATTAACTAATTTTTATTTATTTATTTTATTTTATGTTGTGTTATTCTTATTTATCTTTCTTATTATGTTTTGATTATTATTGTTTAAATAGAAAATATGAATGAATAAGAAATAATAACATAAATGAGTTGATATATTTTATCATTTCTTTATTTGTTTCTTATTTCTATTATTTTATTCATTTGATTCATAATGAATTAATTCAATGAAATAATACAAATAAATTGTTTATTTATTTCATCTTATTTCATTCTTATTTCTTTTATTATTTATTAAAAACACCCTCATTGGGTGTGAATATTTCATTAAATGAAATAAAATATTTCAACATTGAATTATGTCAATTTTTAATTCACCATTTCATTCATTGGCAGATGAATGAAATGTTCATATTCTTCATTGATTTGTTTTTATTCTTTTTTAATTCATTTTCAATTAATCAAGATTGAATCATTTCATTTCAATTACTATGATTCGTTTTGGTGTGAAAGGTATTTGATCTTCGTTTCCACAAAGTGCATGTTCAATTCCTTTATAATCGAATGAATATTGATCACAATGTGATTTTGATTTATTATTTTCTTTACAAACACCAAAATCACCAAGTCCAAATAAAAACAAACAATCATCTGATTGGTTATATAATTTAAATGCACATTCTGGTTCTTTAATATCAAATTTCTTCATTCCTTCAATTCTTCCATTTGATTCTAATGAAAATACAAATGATTTTGAATCATTTATCCATTTATCAACTTTATCAATTTTAGAATTAACATATCCTCCAAATTTATTTCCTTCTTCATCTTCAATAATAATTATTATATGTTTGTTATTAATTATTCTTTGATCAAATACTGACGTACCAACTTTCCAATTATCTTTATCTGAATCAAATAGTATATTTCCTACTTTTCTGTCCATTCTTCTATCTGGTTAGTAACCACTGCATCCATTTTAATTTAATTTGATATTTATAAGTTCAAAATATGAATGTTTAAATAGTTAATCCACGTTATTAACATCATGTCAGGTATTATTTTTATCATCATTCTATTTTAAATAAATGTTATTTTTTTACAATAATAAGTAATATAAAGAAATTAGAAGATAAAAATGAAGAAAAATAAGTAAGAAGAATAAAACATCTCATCAGAAATTATTCTAAAAGCATAAAATAGATAGAAATGAGAATGAGATATTAATAAAACACATATGAAAATCACAATCTACTTCTAATCACATAAAGAAATTGATATATAAATGATGATGAATAAACAGAAAAATGAAATAAAAGAATAAGAAAAGTTAGAAATGATAGAGAAAATAAGAGATAATGATGATATTATGACTAAGAAAATACTGAGATAATTATGACTAGAAAATAAAAGAAGAGATGTACTAAAACAAACAATAAGCAACAATAAGAGGGAAATAAAAAAAGAACAAATAGAAAAAGAGAAATAATACATAGCAAGAAGAACAATACCAAATAATACCAAATTACAATATGACAAAGAAAATTAACAACGAATGAAGCAATGTCAATGAAAAAAAAAGAGAAATAGAAATAATGAATAAGAATTGATGAATAGAAACAAACAACAAATATAACAATACAATATGAAATGAAAGTACAATGAAATAAAGAAATAGAATAATAAATGAAAGTATTGTTGGTGTAGAATTAAATAGTTAAGTATAACAGAAAATATTGAAGAAAAAGAATAAGTATAAAGAAATAAGACAAAGAAAAAATAAAATATGATAAAAACATAATAAATTGTAGAAATATGATAGTAAATACAAAAAGAATTAGATTAATAAAAGAATTAAGAAAGGAGTTTGCTACATAAAATAAGTCAAAACTATTTTAATAAAAAATAAGATGAATGTCAATGGAATATTAATTGTATCACAAATAAACCATATTTTGTAGATCTAATAAACAAAAGAGAAGAAACTGTATTAACCACAAAGAACAGTAAACAATAAAAAACAAGTTTATTATCACTTAAATGAACTATTTATTTTATAAATGAATTAAAGAAAATATTTACAAGAAATAATTTTAAGATTTTAGTTTTAGAATAAAGAAATAAAAAACTTTTAATAATATTTTAATGTATTATAAAATAAAAAAGAAAAAAAAAAAGAATCATCTATTTAAACAAAAAGGTAAAAAACAATCATGTCGTTTGGTATTGATTTTTAAATTCTATTTAATTTATTTCAAACCATTCTCATCAATTTTAGTGACCAACGTATTCAAAATATTAACAGAGACCTTGATGAAACACAACAAATTATGCAAAATAATATTGATAATATGACTCGTAATGTTGCTAATGCTGAAGAACTTGAACAACAAACTGCTGTAATGAATGAAAATGCTGCTGCTTTTAAAAAGTCATCAACTCATATGAAAAATGCAATGTGGTGGAAGAACTTTAAATTGTGGTTAATTATTGGAACTGTTGTTGCAATAATAATTCTTGTTATTATAATTATTATCGTTATTATTGCTGTAAAAGTTAGCAAAAATAAAGATGATTAATAATTTAACGTTTATTATAATGATAATTAAATGAATTACCCCCTCTTTTTTTTTATTATATCTCTTTTAATATATATTTAAATATTCTTTTACAATACTTATTCCCAATAAACAATATAGAAACATTCTACTTTAAATCTATCATTTTTATCTATAGTAATTTTATTGATATTAGTATAATATTCATTCATTTTTGTAGAAAAATATCCTTCTCCATTCTTTTTAATAGAAAAAGCTTTTTCTACTTTAATAAGATCTTCAGAATTTTCTTTGAAAAGTTCAAGTGTTTCTGCTTCTCTTTTCATTTTCCATAAAATTAATTTATGAGTTTCATGATTACATGTAAATATAAAATGATTATCATCAAATCCAATTCCTGTGTCTACGTCTCCAGGTTTAGTAAATTCAAATGGAATAATTAATTTATTAAAACAACCAAAAATATGTTGGTCAATTGTCCTAAAAATGAACATAACATTTGAACATCCTTTTACACTTTGAACAAATAAAGAAGAAAATTGTAAACGTTCCATTGTTATTATTTCTATATGATTAATAGCATTTAATTTTGTCCATTGACATAAGTCATCAAAATAGCAATCTAATCTAATTTTTTCAAATTTTTGTTTATAAAGACATTTCCACATTGAAGGAATAGAAGAAATTAAATGATTAACTTTTTTTTCTTTAGAATTAGAATTTACAATAAATTTTTCAAATGAACCTTTTAAAGAATTTAATTGAGTTTCAACATTACTAATAGCAATAGAAACTAATGAAAGATTTTGTTTATCTTTTTTTTTAATTGTTTTTTCAAGTAAACAAATAATGTTATTAATATTTTCAACTTCATGTTTTTCAACAAAAAAGTTCATTTTATTATTAAATTTACTTAATTGTAAATTTATTTCATTCAATTGATTATTTAAATATTCAGTATTCCAATTTTTATATTGTTTATATTCTTCTTTTAAAGAAAGAAGATTTTTTGTATTATTTTCAGATTCTTCATTAATTTTTAATTCAACGTTTTGAAGTTGTTTTTGTTGATTATCATTTATATTTTTATTTTGTTTAAGTTGTTGTTCAATAGAAATTAAATTTGAAGAAATATTTTTATTTTCTAAATTTAATTTAGAAATTTCTTCATCTATTTGTTTTTTAATTATATTTTGTTCATTTTTATTTTCATCATTTAAATTTTTTTGGTTGTGAATAAATGGTAAGACATTAATTTTCATTTCATTTTCTAAAGATTTAATTGTATCTCCTTGTAATTTAATAATTTCGTTTTGTTCATTAAGAAGTTTAATAAAATTTTCAAAAAGTATTGTTGCCTTTTCACAATATGTTTTTACCTTTTCATCTCTATTAATAAGACTTTCTATCTTTTTTTCTATCTCATTAACTTCATTCTTTATTTCTTTATTAGTATTATCATTCTCTTCAACTCGAGTAATTAATTCATCAACTTGTTTTTTAATCATATTATCCTCTTCTTGAATTTCATATTTTTCTATATTTAAATCAACCATAACTTGTCTTTATTTTTTTGGAGTTGTATTTTTAGTTTTTTTTTTAATTATTTTTGACGTTTTAATATCAACTTCAAATGAATATTTTTTAGTTTTCTGAAAATCATCAAAAGAAGTTTCGATATATTTGTTTTTTTTTAAATTTCTTATTTTTTCTTTCCAATTTAGAAATAATACTTCTTAACATAAGAAAGTCTTTTTTACTAAACAATTTTATAAACAAATAAATAAAAAAATTTAATAAAAATTTAATAAAAATTTATTGTTTACAAAGAAAAACATGGGAAAGTATTTAAATAGAAGAGAGGAATTTCTTAATATAGAAGATAGTAGAAATCAAGACATCAAAAAACAAAAATGAAAAGTGAAAAAAGAAATTATATAAAAATAATAAAAATATTATAAAAGAATAATATAATAAAAAAATAAAAAAGAAAAGATACAAAGAGTGCTGTCACTCACCAGAACAATAAAAAGAAGTAATTTACAATAACGAAGAATGGAGAACACATTTATTGAACGAAATCAAACACCACAGAAAATGAGTGTTTTTAAAGAAGTTCCTCGAGAGTCTACTGCAGAAAAAAGAAGACGTGTTTTTGAAACGATGATTTCGGGATTTAAAGAAATCAACTCATCAAGAAAAGAAAAAAAGCAACATGTTACTGGGAGTTCTAATCTTTGTGAATGTCCTGTAATTGAAATTCCTCCTAATCCTTTTGATATTAATTTTGAATCAAAAGTTCCATCTAAAAGTTGTTTTGTTCCTTCTACAGAAACTTCAACTGAACATTCTGGAAGTACAAATAGAACATTAATTACTTCAACATCATATAGATCTGAATTTGATAGGAATAGAATTCAACAAATAGAAATTGATAGAAATCAAGAATTTTTTATTGGAAGAGCTTCTAAAACACCAGAAAGATATATTTATATTAGAAATGCTATTGTTGATCTTTGGAATAAAGAAAAACCAAAATATGTAAGTAAGACAATGGTAAGACATCAAATTAAAGATTGTGGTGATGTTAATTGTATAGGAAGAATTCATACATTTTTAGAACAAATGCAATGGATTAATTATGGTAAAGTAACAGGTAAATATATTCGAACACAACAAAAATTAAGACAACCAGAAACTATTCCTTTAAAAGATAATACTCATGTTATTATTTGTGGAAGTGCATTATTAGTATTAGATATTCATTGTAGATTAATAGAAAATCCAGTTGGATTAGTAGTTGGAAAACAAGTAACACCACTTCTATTTATTATTGAAGATATGGTTCCAATTGGAGTAGGGAAATGTGAATTACCAGAAGATACTAAAGTTATTGGAGTATATTATGATGAAACTAATCATTTTCCATATTATTTAGAAGCAAGTTATCCATTTTGGATATTACGTTTAGTATGGAAAAAACAAAATAAAAGTTTTAATGTTATAAGAAAAGATAGACAAGTTGAAGTTGGAGTAGTTGAAATTGTAAAAAAAGAAGAAGTAAAGAAAACCTATCAAATATCACCAGTATTTAATTCTATTATTAATACATATTTAAATACTAATTATGTTACTAATGAATTTATATAAAATTAAAATAATACATTATTATATAAAAACATATAACACTCTTTCAACAACAATTATTATTCATTCATTTAAAGAATTATTAAATGATAGTTCAACATTCTCTTATTATTTAATTAATTCTTTCTTTATTTTCTTAAAATTTTTATTTATTTAATTAAAATAACACAAAAGAATAACTTAATTATTAAAAATTTTATTATTTCTTTCTTGGCTCCAAAATGATAGAAATACGATACAACAAATCTTCTGGAAGAGATGTCAGTTGTTGAAGATACCCATTTAAAGGTTGAACAATAGGGAAATTGAAAGTAAATTGTTGGAATCGTAAGAAATCATCAATTTGAGTCAAACACATTTCTTGACGTTCAAAATTAATTAATGAGATTCCATCTTCATTTTTTACTTTTGGTTCATTTCCTTCAGTAATAAATGTTAAATCTTTTGTTACAACAGCAATAAATGGAACACATGCACCTTTAACATCTTTAATAAGTGAACGATAATTTTTATAATTTGAATTATTAACAAGTCCAAAATAACTTTCTAATATTTTCATTGTTTTTACACTTTGTTGAGTTAATAAATTACGAGTATTTTGTAAACGAGCAATAGGAGAATATGCTTCTAATCCAACATAAAATCCAGCTAAAGCTTGATAATTTTGTAATGTTAATAATTTATCTGCAATTGAAATGAATTTGTTCATTAATTTTGCTCTCATTTCAACATCAGGAAACATTAAAATCATAGTTCCTATCCAATGACTAATTTCATCAACTCGTGCTAACATTTTACATACATTTGGTGCTCTGTATTTCATTTTATCAAATGAACAATCAAATAATTCAGTTGGACGAACATTTTTATAAATCCCAAAATCAACCATAGTTAATTGTTTTGCAATTTCATAATCATCCATTTTTGATATAAATAAAGCAGGTGAACACATATCTTGTGATAAGAATAAATCAACAGGAGGAATAAAATAATTTGAAATTAATTGATTTCTTTCATATAACCTTTTATCAATAGTAGCTGTTAAACTTTTAAGTTGTTGATCAGTTTCTTCTGGTCTATTTAAAAATGATTTAATATATTCTAATAAACCTTGATTACATTCATCTAATGCATCACTACAAAAATATTTTAATGCAATAACTACTCTTCTTTTAATTAATGTTGCTTTATCTTTTGGAATATTATCTGGAACAAGATATCTTGTAATTAACAAATCAACAACTTCTTTTGCTTTAGCAAATGATGGAAATGAATAGAAAAAAGTTCTTCTAAAGAATAAATCACTAAAATCAGGTGAAGTTAATGTTTCAATAATTCTATTTAATGAACCTGCATTAATTGATTTTGAATCTTTTTTAGTAATAACTTTCGGTTTATCTGAAGATTCAATCTCACTCCAAAAATCATTAGTTCCCATTGTTAATTTTTCTGTTTCATTTTCACTAATTTTTCTTACTTCTCTTGCAGTATATACTTTACCAACATATATTTTTAATGAATTAACTAATGTTACTGTAATACTTCCTACTTCTACAACTTCTAATTTTACAATATCTTTACTATTTAATACAAATGGATTTTCTTCATCAATTTTTTCTTTTTTCTTTTTCTTTCCATTATCTTCTGTTTTATTTATTCTATTTCTAACAACATTACCAATACTAACTATTAATTGTGATACAATTGCACTTAATCCTTTTCCACTTTCATAAAAATCTCTTTCAATAAATCCAGCTCTTAATTGTTGTCCTTCTCCTTTTGCTGCTGAAAGAACATGAGAATTAATTTCTGGTTCTAATTTAATTTTATTTAACGTTGTAATAGTGGCTTTATATGTTTCAATATATTTCTTAAAGTTTTCATCATTACATTCACAATGACTTACATATAATTCCATTATTTCTTGTGTTATTTCCATTAATGTTGATGCTTTTGCTAATACTGCTTCAACTGCACTTTGAAATTGTGAAATATATTCTTCTATTTCTGGTCTTGCTACTGCTAATGATGCAAAACTTAATGCATCAATTACAACTGATCCAACTACAGCTGCTGAATCACAAACAAGACCAACAAGAGTATCATAACTTTTTACTTTTTCTTCACCTAATCTATTAACTTCTTCATCAATAGTAATTTCATCAAATCTAGGTAATAATTGTGTATGAACATAAAATCGTGTATTACTTTTTTGTTCTACAATAACATCTTCATCTACACTTTTTAATACTCCTCCAACTTTAATTGGTCGAGCGTCTTGATAATATTTATTAATACAACTTGATATTTGGTCAATAATTTCTTCTTTATTTAATCCTTGTTCTTTAGCTTTCTTTAATGTTTCTGTTATTGCTTCTGTTCCATTTCCTCCATTAATAGAAACACTATCTCCACTTAATTTTGATGATGAAGTAAATGAAATTACATTATTTTTTTTCTTTCTAAATGTTAATGATAATGAATGTCGGTCAAGTCTTTTTTGTTCTATTCTTCTTGACCTTGATTCTCTTATTGGTTCTTTTTGTAATTCATTTCTTAATGTTTCTATAGCACTAATTTCTGCTTGAAGCATTTTCTTTTCTTCGTCATTAATTTCATCCCCAGCAAGTGCTTTCATATTGATAGATCTCATTTTCTTATACTTTTCTGATTGTAACAAAGACACTTTTAATTTTAATGACTGAATCTCGTCTTGCATTTGTTGAAGTTTTTCTTCTTGAAGCCCCAACATGTCTCTATCACCCAGTAAATGGTATTTCAAGTTGTTTCTTCAAAAATTATTTTTAATTATTTCTTTTATTATTCATTTTACTATTTTAATTTTATTTTCCCTTTTTTCTATAAAATTTCTATTTTAATTACTATTTTTAAGTTCTTCTTTTTTTTTTTCTTTCTCAAATTTAATAGTTTCTTCTTTCTTTTTTATTTGGACGATTGCCATTATGATTTTATTTTTATTTTGAGAGTTATTTATCCGAGGTGTTTTAAACCTTTATTATTAGTATCATTTATTATTTATAATCGTTAAATGGAAAATATTTTCTTTCAAATCTAATTTATTCTTCTATAAAAAAATATGTTTTAATAACAAAATAATTTTTTTAAATTTCTTTATTATTTGAATGTTCAAAAACTTTGTTTTCTTCCTTTATAAAACATTTCATTTAATAAACGTTGATATTGTTACACAAATAATTTTAAATTTATTTGTTAATCTTTTTGATAAAAGATTGTTTGGTATTAAAAAAATGACACTCCTTAACAAATATTTTTTATTTCAATATAAACTAATTATTTTGAAACAGAATTTTTTTATATCTTTTATGGCATTTTCAAGAGTTTTTTTTATTTTCTACTTCTTGAAATAAACGAGTTTTTTTCCTACATAAGAAAATTTATGATTTTTATGAATATTTATTGACAATTATCTGTTAATAGAAAAATTAACAATAGAATAAAATTCAATTTGAATAAATTCTATATTACAACAATATTTCTTTTTCTTTTATTTCTTAAATCAAAGAAAAAGGTTTTTAATACAATAATTCCAATTATTATCAATTAAATTATATTACTTTAAATCATTAAATTCAAATTAATTAATTGCTTTATTATTTAAAAAAACTTTATTTTCACAAATTGACACATAAAACTTTAACTTATAATTTAAAAGACATTCTATTTACTGAATTATTTGAAGACATTGATTATTCAATAATAATGAATATTTTATTAATTATTAATTTAATAAAATTGGATTAGTATTTTCTTACATTCCAAAGAAATATATTAAAAACATTAAAATTAAATAAGATGTTAATTTAAAAAGAAGGAAAAATTAACTTTAATTTTTCTTGTATAAAACCCCTCCTTTAATACTTAACCATTTAGCGACTTTTTGTGCAAGATTAGTCATGATATTATATGATTCTATTAAATAAGAACAGTTATTTATTATAAATTTTAATAATATAAAAACAAACGAGATAATTCATTTGAAACAAAACGTTCACCATTGAGTTGGACTGAAGAAAGTAAGAGAATGGAAACAGCCTGGAAAGTTATAACAACTAAAATAAATTCATGAAGTTGATATGAACCAAAAATGAATAAATAACATATCACAATTTGTGATATTCCAGAAGAAACTGCTACAATATAAAATTGAGTTGAAAGTATAACGATAGTTGGAATTTTTATAACTAAGAAAATACTAACTAAATGTTGGAAAATTGCCAACAACGGTAAGTAGATTGGATATGTCATAAAAAATAAAAATGATTGGATGAACGTCAATATCCATACAAATATTGTTATTCCTTTCGCTACTCCTGGTTTTCTATCACATAATACTCCAAACATATACATTAAACATCCAAAACATCCTACTTCAGCAATACAAATACTGAAAAATGCAAATCCATAATTTAATAAAAATTCACTTACTAAACTGGCGTTTGGTAATTGCATTTTATTTTTTGTTTTTCTTTTTTTTTTTCTTTTTTTTTTTTAATTTTTTTTAGTTTTTTTATTTGATTAGTAATTTTTCTTAACACATTCTCTTCAATAATATTTTTGAATTGTGTTGATATTTTATTTATTTCAACTAGACTATGACTATTCTTTTTTTTTATAAAATTAATCATAAAAGAATATCACAATTCATTATTTTCTCATTTTATTATATAACATAGCTCTGTCATATAATGTCATTAAAGAAATTGTAGTACAAATTCAATTATAACATAAACCATTATATTTCTTGTCTGATTATCATCTCTTGTTTTTTGACAATCAATGCTTTGCTTTTCTCTTCGATTTCCACTACTGTCTTTTTCATAGGAGTAGTTTCGTTCATCTCCATCGTTCCTGATGATGCTTTCATCAATACTGGTTGTGTATTTATCACAAGTGTCATCGTTTTCTTCTTCTCTAGTTCCTTCTGTGAGATAAAATTTTAAATATCATCTTGTTGTTTTGATATTATTTATTTTTGTGTCTTATTTTCTTTTTGTGTGTTATTTAATTCTTCTCTTGTTATTTCTGCAATTTCTTGATATTCAGAGATTTGTTTTTCTTTATCTCTTATCTTCTTCTTCAGCTTCTCTTTATTAGCTTCAATACTTCTGATTTTTTCATCTTTATCATTTACTTCCATGATTTTCCATGTATCTCATTTATTTTACATTGTGATTTAATGTTTTCTTTATTTTGTTATAAGTGTTTCATAATTAAAATTAAATAAAAAGAAATAAAATGTTTTAGAAATTAATTAGAAAGCAAAATCAGCTCCCATTTCACGTTTCCATTCTTTTTGGAAGGTATTAGCATATTCAGAAATAGTAGTTGCAGCAAGAAGAATACCAGTTCCTGAACCAACAGCACCAAGTAAATCAGCACCAACAGAAAGAAGAGAAATGCACATACCACCAAATGAAGCAGCAATTGGGATATACTTATCAAGAAGATAAACAGAACTTTCACCGTCACGGAATCCTCTAATAGAAACACG